CTTTTCCCTTAACAATTTGAATATATTTACTCATTCTTTCCTCACTTGCATTGTTTCTGATGAGAGGTCTGCTGTCAGCCTGACGGGATATCCTTTGTAGGTAACTTGCCATTTTTCTCTTGCTGATCTAAGTGTCTTTGTCTGTGGTTTTAGTCAATCTGCCTATAAAGTGTCTTGGAGAAGATCTTCTTGGGTTGATTCTATTTGGGGTCCTTTGTGTTTTTTGGAACTGAATCTTTGAGTGCCTCTCTAGGTTTGGAAAGTTTTCTTGCAGGATTTCATGGAATAGATTGTCAGTGCCCTTATGGGTCTCTTCACCTTCTGGGATACCAATTATATGGATGTTTGGACATTTGCTGGTAACTAGTATTTGTTGTATATTATTCTCATTTTGGGGGCAATTTTCTCAGTCTTCATGGTGGACTTTTCTATGCCAGTGATTCTATCTTCTACATCTGAGATTCGATTTTCTGTATGATCTACTCTGTTTTTAATATTTTCAAAGGAGATTGTGACTTCCTGTATTATAGCCTTCATATCTAACAGGTTCATTTGATTCTTTTTTATAGTGTGAATTTCCTCTTTTAGATCTTATAAGAATTTTCTCACCTCCTGGTGCTTGTCAGCTCCTTTCCCCTGCCTCTTCAGCAGTTCATTGTCTCTCTTCTCTTCGATCTTTGTGAACCTTGTTACCATGAAAATTCTAAATTCTTTATCTGATTTTCCCATGAATTTCATCATACTGTCTGAGGATGAAGAGGAGTTATTTTTTTCCTTGGAGGAGAGGTATTTTCTTGTTTTTCCATATTTCTTGTGACCCTGTGGTGATTTCTAGTCATCTGATGGATGGTGTGTTTCTTCCTAATTTCTTGAAGTTCAGTCTGAGCATTCAGAGGCATGCGGGAGGAGGTGATCTGCAATTTCTCTTCCGTTCTGTTTTCACTTTTTTGTGTATCAGAATCAGTCGGAATAGAAGAATATTCTGACCCTAATTGTATTCAGATGTTTAGATCCTGTTCACTTGGACCTGTCTAGACACTTAGTGTGTAGGAGCTGAGAAGAAAGTGAGTGTAGATAGAGAAAAAGGAAAAGAATTAGAGAAAAGGAAAGAAGAAAATATAAGATAAAAAGAAGTAAGAAAAAACATAATACAATAAGTTTATATTTTAATTTTAAAAAGCAAAAATTGAAAACCACGCAGCACAAAAGCAATATTTCATAGCTGACGTTCAGGATCCATGTGGGGATAGGCCTGGGTTTGTGCCCTTCCTAAGTAGAATGGGGAGAGGCGCCTATTAGCACAATAAAGAGGCTTGAGAGCCCAGAGAATACTTTACCTTAAAAAATCTTTTGAAAAAATGAAAAGATACAGGGAGACACAGAGAGACAGAGAGACAGAGATAATCGGAGAGAAAGAGACAGGTAACACTACCCACTAGAAATGAGTGAGGAAGACGTTTCAGCAGAAAATCTTCATTTTAAGTCTCGGAAAGCAGTATTTCATAGCTGAAGTTCAGGATCCATGTGGGCCAGCTCCTGAAACTTTTATAATGACATGAAGCTCACATTAGATTTCCACGGGACAGTACTGTTCTAGAGAAAAGTGTTCCGGGTGAAATGTGTAGTTCGAGAAATGTGGCTTAGTTATCGTTTCCTGAATCACAGGGCACAGGAAGCACATTCAAGGCTCTGAGAAGTCCTGTGATAAAGGAATCTGCCTACCTGGGGCCTGCTCAGGATGGCCAGGACAAGTGGAAGTGCTTACGTGCTGTTCTCGGGTGCTGCTCCTCCGGGCTCTCAGCACAGACGTCCCCACTCTGGGTGAGACCTTCCCTGACCACGCTCCGTGCAGGACCGCCCTCCCGCCAGAGCTCTCCGTCAGGGCTTTCTGCTTTACTTTCCTTCACAGCCTTCCTCCTCAGCTGAAAGTAATCTCATGTATTGCTCGGAGTCCTGATAGAAAAGAGGTGGCACTTGGACAGAGTGACGTGGGGACTTTAATGAGGGGCTGTTTTGTATAAAGGTAGGGAAGAGTTTTGGGAAACAAGAAGGAAGCTGTAGGGCCCTGGGACTGGCCTCAGTGGGGGCTGACACCACCCCTGGGCTGTGGAGGGGCCAATCATTCGTGTTCAGAAAGGGAAGCTGGAATGAGCATTAGGGCAGGGGACACAGTCTGCCAGGGCGACCCTTCCTTCTCTCCCCTTCCCAGCTCTGGAGCTCCTGCCAGGCTTCTCCTCAGCCAGATCCTTCAGAAGTTGGGGGGGTGAGGTGGCCCATTGACACCAGCCATCCTAGTCCACTGATAGTCTCCTCCCACTAACACATCGGGTGCTCAAGGCCAGGCTGCTGTGGATTTGTTCATACTGGAAGGTGCTCGACGCCTGTTTGCCGAACGCATGAGTACATGAGTGTAGATACTCACTTATGTCCAAAAGCGAGAAGCCTAGGGCACTGAGGTCCTAAGTGACGTGAGTCCTATGTGACAGAGTTCATCTTTCCCCCCACACATGCACTGGACGTGTTTCTGAAGCTGTCAGACTGGGATTCAAACTGCATCCCGCCACATGGGATCCAGCCACCAGTGCACAGGACTTAGTCACAGCACAGTGAGGGGCAGCCTGTGTGTCCTCACCGCTGTGGGTTAGTCAAATATTTGGATATATCACCATTTAGTCTTTCTACTTTGTTTTACTTCTTTCTTTCATGAGAGAGAGAAATAGAAAGATAAATACCAGCAGGATCTCATGCCGTCATCTTCAACACCCCCAGCCTTCTCCGTAAGCCAGGATAACCGGGTACCCCACCCCACAATCTTCCATACAGACCCAGTACACTTGGGCAGCATGATACCACTGAGCCAGAGCCGGCCCTGCCCATTCTACTCCTGTTTTCATTATTTATTTCTAATTGGTTATAAGGTACGTACACTCACTGAAGGTAGAGCGAAAGTGAGAAAGCAACCCCAGGAGGGATGGCCACACTGTAATCCCTTCTCCTTCATTTTATTTCCAGTATTTTGGACACTCACGCACACACGCCTGGAGTGTTTTTCAAGCTGCCAGGTCTGGGACTCTAACCGAACCGTTGGCCATGTGTGATCCAGCTGCCTTAACCACCATACCACCTGGTTGGCCCCATTCTACTCTTGATGTTCAATGTATTTCTAGCCATGTCTCGCCATTGATTTAGGTCTTCATTTATTCATCTCATTAATGTTTGCATGTATATAGTCCTTATATATTATTAATTAGATTTTTTTTAGATATTTTATATTTGTATGTTAAAATAATTTTTATGCCAACAGATTTTAGCTAGTATAAAGAGTGCTCTTGGGAATATTTTTGAACATGAATTTTAAGAACATGGGTGTGTGTACAAACCTTGGAGTGAAATTTGTGTGTCACAGCGCATGCGTGTCCTCAGCGGTAGTACAGCCGCCAGCTTTCCAAAGTCTTCGTGGTGTGATGTGCCCACCGTGGTGGGTGGGCGTTCCACCTGCAATGTGTCCCCATGACTACTGGTATTATGGGTATTTAAAAAAATTATAGTTATTTTGCTGAGCGTGCATTGATGTTGATCTTCTCACTGTGGTTTTACTTTGCATTTCTCTGGGGACTAATAAGGTTGAGCATTTTTCATGTTGACCTTTTGGCTATCCTCTTTTGAGAAGTGCTTATTCATGCCTTTTGTTATTTTTCTCCTGGATCATTTGTGTTTCCTTATTGACTTAGAGAAATTATTACATATTTTCTTTATGAGTCTTCAGTTAATATATGTATTATAAATTTTTTTTCACTCTGTAATTTGTCTTTTCATCTCTGAATGGTGTTTTTAATATCTGGGAGTTTTTCATTTTTTTCCCCTTAGTTTTTGTAATAGGTAATTTTGTATATGCTCACCAGAGAGAAGCAGAGAGAAATGGAAAGTGAGAACTCACCCCCAGGGGGATAGCCACACTGCCATCCCTTCTCCTTCACTCTTCTCTCAGGATTTTGGGCACAGACGCATACACACCCGGTGTGATTCTCAAGCCTCTGGATCTGGGACTCGAACTATGAAGCTGGCCACAGGAGATCTATCACCTTCACCTCCAGGCCACCTACTGGCCCTGAGAGTTCTTGATTTTAATAAGTCCAATTTATCATTTATTTCTTGTTTGTTTAATGCTGTTGTGTGTGAAGTTTTGTTTTTTAGAAATCTTTGGGCGCTTCAAAGTCATGAAGATCTTTCATATTTTCTTCTAGAAGATATATAATTTTATTTTAACTTTTCATAGGTCTACAATTCATCTGGAGTTATGTGGCATGAAGCAGGGGTCAAAATTCACTTTTTCCAAAAGTATCTAACTGACCCATTTACTAAAACAGATGGTCATTTCCCCTCTCCCGCAGTGTCACCTTCATCATAAATCAGGTAATTGCAGAATGTAGGTCTTTTTCTGGACTCTACTGTATTTCACGAATCTATTTTTATATCCTTACACTATTAACATATTATCTTTATAATAGATCTTGTTACTTGATAGTTGAAAACTCCTAGGCTTTTTTTCCTTCAAGTTTAGATCTTGTTACTTGATAGTTGAAAACTCCTAGCTTTGCTTTTTTTCCTTCAAGTTTGTTTTGGTCTTTTTTTGCCCCTTGTATTTTCATATAAAGTTAATAATTGACTCAGGTCCCATAGAAAACCTCTTAGAATGTTGATTTGAATTGTATTGGATCCATAGTAAGTCCGGGATTAAATTAATATCTTTACAACATCGGGTCTTCTAATCCATCCTTTCATTTATTTAGACCTTCTTTTCTCTTACTAATGTTTAATGTTTTTATGCTACTATAAATAGTATTCATTTAAAGTTGCACTTGTCAGCTTTTTGCTGTTATATTATAGAAATGCAATTAATTTTTATATATAATTGGCCTATATGGTGACTTTCTGAAATTCATTTACTTCTTTATTTTAGGTTTTTATCATAGGGCACATGTGGTCAACAGAGAGAGATAGAAAGACAGTGAGAGGGAAAGTAAGAAATCACCCCTCGCCCCAGGTATGGCCACACCATTATCCCTTCTCCTTCATTCTCCTCTTAGGATTTTAGGCACACATGCACAAACACCCAGTGTGATTTTTTAAGCCATTGTGTCTGGGATTCAAACTGTGGTCGACCATATGGGAATCCAGCACATTAACTATTATGCCACCTGCTGACCCCTGAAATTCATTTATTAATGGTAATATTGGGTTATTGGAAAAGTGATGATGAATTTTTACACACACACACAAAACAGAAAAATATGTCATGAATTTTCTGACAACCCAGTATTCTGTCTATAGACCTGTTTATATTTATTATAAACAAAGTCACTTTTTTTTTCAAATAATGATGGTTTTAACTTTTTTCCCCCAAATTTATCCTTTCTTTCTCATTATCTTTCATTGCACTGGTTAGAACCTGCAATTTAATATTTAATAAAAGTGGGAAAACAGGCATGCTGACTCATTCTCATTCTCAGACAGCAAGTGTTCAGTATTTTAATACTAAGTAGGTAACACTTGGTATAGGCTTTTATTTGGAACACTTTTTATTGCTTTAAGTAAGTTCTCTTTTATTTCTGTTTGCAAAGAGGATTTTTTAAAATTATAAATACATGTCAAACTTCATCAGAAGCTGCAATATTTCTGCATCTACCAATACAATCAGATGATTTCTCTTTTATTCTGTTAATGTGGTAGATTACACTAATTTTTTGAAAATGAAAATCAACCTTTTGTTCCTGAATTAAATCCAACTTACTCATTTATTATCATTTATTTCTTTCCCTGAATCCAACTTGTTGGTTTGATATTTTTGCATTTCTGCTCATAAGACTAATTGACCTGTAATTTTCCTTCATGTCCTGGTCAGTTTTTGGTGTCAAGATTACAATGACCTTGTTAAACAAATTAGAGTGTATATTTTTTCCTCATCTATGCAAATGTTTATATGAGATGGTGCCATTTATTCCATAAATACTCGGAGAAATTCACTTGGAATTAATTTGTAAGAAAGCCATTGGTGGCTAGAGGTTTCTTTGTATAACTATTGTTATCTACAACTTCAATATCTTTCTTATTCTAGGTTTTACATTTCTTCTGATGTTAACTTTCATTAGTTTTGTTTTTAAAATATTTTTCCACTTTATTTAAAATTGTAAATTTATTAGCTTTAAATAATTTACTTATAATATATTGTATTTATCTTTTTAGTATTTGTTAGGCAATGAATTAGCGTCCTCTTTTTCATCCTGATTGGCAATTTGTGTCTTCTCTATTTCTTTACTCGAAGACTTCCCAGAAATTAAACATTTTGGGGCCAGCAGGTGGCATAGTGATCAAGGTGCTTGATCCCACATGGCCGACTACAGTTTGAGTCCTGAACCTGGCGGCTTGCTTTCTCACTTTGCTCTGTCTCTCTCGAGTGAGCATGCATGTTCTATAGCAAATTTAAAAAAATAATAATAATAAATAACATTAAATAAATAATTTTTTAAAAAAAGAAATCTAACATTTTAAATATTCTTTTATAAGTGCCAGTTCTTGGGCATGTTGATTTTCTCTCTTGAAAATCTGTTTTATATTTTATTAAGTTATGCTTTTAGTCTTTATTACTTCTTCCCTTCTAGTCTCCTTAGATATCATTTTATGTTCTTTTAGAGACAGATGATTAGATTATTGGTTTTCATCTTTTTAAAAATATATGCATTTAAAGCTATTATTTTAATCTAAGCCATGGTTTAACCACATCCCTCATATTTGGACATGTTATATTTTTTCATTATCATTAAGTTAAAGATATTTTCCATTTTCCACTGAATTTTTTCTATGACCTATTTAAAAGTATATTGTTTAATTTCCAAGTATTTGGAGAATTTCTACTTATTTTGTTATTGATTTCCAGCTTAATTCTTCTGTGGTCAAAGAACATATTCTGCGTAATTTTAATCCTTTGAAATTTGTTGCAACTTCTTTTATGGCCAGCATAAATTTTCCATGTATGCTTGGAAAGAAAATATGCTCTTTCGGGCACAATGTTCTGTCTGTGTCAATATATCAGATTTGTTAATTGTGTTGTTTAGATCTTATATATCCTTATTGATCTTTTTTTCCCTGCTTCTCGTATATTTTATTGAGTGAAGTATGTTAAAATCTCCTATGTGAGTGTGGAGTCACCTATATTTCCTTATATTCATGTCAACTTTTGTTTAAAATATTTTGAACCTTTATTTCTCATGTACCCATAAATTGAGAATTATATGCTTCCTTGGAGAATTAATCTTTTTTAAAGAATTATTTAATTTAATTTAATTAATTTATTTTAATTTTATCAGAGATGGACAGAGAGAGACAAAGTGAGAAAGCAAGTTGCCAGGTCTGGGACTCCAACCGCAGTCAACTGTGTGGGAGTTTAGTGCCCCAACTATCATGCCACCTGCTGACCCCCACTTTTTTTTTAAGAAAGGTTTTTGCTTTAGGGTGTGTGTGCTTACTGTAGAGACAGAAAAAGACAGACAGATAGAAAGCAAGAAATCACCCCCCCATGAGGGCCATGCTGCAATCCCTTCTTGTCCATTCACCTCTCATGATTTTGGGCACACATGCACACGTGCCCCACATGAGTTTCAAACCTCTGTGTCCAAGACTCAAACCACAGTCAGTCATGTGGGAATCGAGTGATGTAACCATTGTGCCATCTGGTGGTCCCAACCATGTTATTTTTATAATGTTTTTGTTATCTTAATTTGGCCTTTTGCCTTCAAATTTACTTGCTCTAGTATAGCTATGAGCAGCTTTCTCTGAGATGTTGTTTGTATGCTTTCTCTTTTTAGCATACTTTATCTTTTAATTTCTCTATATTCTCATATTTAAGGTGAATCTCTAATAAGTAGCATATATCTAGATTTTGTTTTTAAATCTAGTTTCGTACATACAGACTTTACATACAACTACTTAATCCACTTATATTTAATGTGATTACTGATATATTTGGGTTTCTGTCTATCATGCCTTTTGGTCAAGCTACTGCATCACAAAAAAATGTTAGTCCTTCTTGACCTACTTTCTTTGAACTTGTTCTTCTTCCTATCTCATTGGCTCTTCTGGTATTAGTTCTTCTTTTCTATGCTTCTCTCTTTATATTAGAGTTTCTTGTTATTTAGTTCTCAGAAGTTCTAAGCTCAAGACAAAAAGAGCTTTCTACCTTAATCATTTCTATCAACTCACTCCTTAGGTGACCACATCCATTCTCAAGTCTTGAAAAAGTGCCAGCTACCAAATGTACAGCTCAACCCTGACCTCTGCCCTAAATCCCACACCCATACAGCCAGCGTCCTTGTCCACATTGCCATTTGGGTCTCCATGGCATCTTGAACTGATACGTCAAATGCTGAGGTCCTAGTACAGTGAGGAATGTGGGACGGTCTAGCTTTCTCGCTTTCTGTAGTCCTCCTCGTCTCTAAGTAGCAGAGCCATTTCCCCACTTCTAACGCCCAAACCTTGACTCCTGCTGCTTCTCTTACAGCTCACATCTAATCCATCAGACAGGCTTACTCATCTACTTTCGACCACGTTTCAGCACCTCATCTGTCTTCAGCTTACGCCATGCCCCATCACCTCTCACCTGCTTTGTTGCGATAGCCCCCTCACTGCTCTTCTTGCTTCCGGTCTGGCTTCCATGCAGCCTGTTCTTCACATAGTTTCTGGAATGAGCTTTAAAAGACATATGTCATATCGCACCACTTCTAAGCTTAAGACAAAAATAGCTTTCTACCTTAATCAGAGTTATCTTCCTAAGCTCGCCATCCATCCTTCCCCCAGTCACTCTGCTCCAACCAAACTGTCCTCCCGGCTGTTCTCCACAAACACCAAGCTCGCTGTCACCGCGGGGCTCTTGCATGTGCTGTGTCTCTCTTTGCCTCATGTCTTTCTGGGCCTCAT